GACTAAAAGCCTAAATGTACACGAGTAGGGACTTCACTCATGTAATGGTACAAGTTCCCAATGATGAATATAACTGTATTGTATACCTAAAATGTCCCAATAAAGTTAATGGGGGAAAAAAAAAAGAATATATCCTTCTAGGACTGTATCTTAAGCCATACTGCCGAATATATACAAAGAAGTATGAACAAAACTGTTCATTGCAACATTATTTATAATGAATAGCAAAAGACTAAAAGCCTAAATGTACACGAGTAGGGACTTCATGTATCTACTGGTATATCTGTACAGTGAAGTTCCAAACAGTTGTAAAAGGAAGGGACAATTATTTCTATGTACTCCTATCAAATGTTCTTCACTCTTCTGCATGCAAAAAAGTAGGTAAAGAAAATGTGTGTGATATGCCACTATTTGCTTTTATTATAAAACAATGGAAGGATAAAATGTAAAACTAAAAAATAAATGATCACCTTTTAGTAAATAAGAGAAAAGGGGGAATAGAGTGGAGAATACAGAATAAAGACTCAGTTTATTTGAAACTTCTTTTATTCTTTTATGGACTTGACTTTGGAATCATTTTATGTGATTACCAATGCAACTCAATTTTAGAAGCATTGCCTACAATAAAAAATGAAATAAAAGAAACCTGTGGTTCTAATCTATTCTGGTCACATGTAAATGTAACATCTGAGTTTAAAATACCCTCATTTTAGGGGGAATGGTGGAATGAACTCTAAGCCTAAAAAGAAATATCAATTTTAAACTTTCAGTAGTTAGTGATTGTATTGGCATTTTCATTTTGAGACTGTTGGCTGGGTACTGTGGAGTTAAATATAACGCATTTATTTTGAGAACAATGGTTTGTGGCATAGCTGAAAGGAGATGCAGATATTAAATTGATACAGTTAAGTAAAAATCTTATAGTTTGCAATTTGAATCAGAAACATCAATATGAGTTCTTGATGTGTCTGACAACTGAAAAAGATTAAAAACAGTGACCATCTAAATAGCAAGGGGCACTTCTACCACAAATATATTTTTTCACTGAAAGGTCCCTGGGCTGATTACAAAAATGAAAGATCCCAGATCTGAAGCAGAAAATCAATAAGATGATTGTGGAGCCTTAAGAACCAGCAATAAGAAAGCTATCAAAGTCTGCTGGACTTGCATCAAAAGGACCCAGGTGTCACAGCAAATGGACTCTCACTGGCTAATGAGGCCAGTGACTGAAACAGATCAAATGTGTTTAAGTGCATGGTTTGTAATGACTCACACACATCCAACATAAATGACCAAACACACCAAACAAATGACAAAATATCTCATTAGTTACCTCTGGAGGATTCTAGGGAACCAATTTTTTTTTTTTTTTTTTTGATGGTACTGTGGATCAAACTCAGGACCTTGCACTTGCAAGGCAGGCATGGCACCACTGAGCTAAATCCCTGGCCCCCAAGTATTTTTTTAAATAAACATGTTGACGATTATTCTTAACTGCCCCCCCATAGTACTAGGGGTCAAACCTAGGGAGACTATACCACTGAGTTCCATCTCAGCCTTTTTTTAAAATTTAAGACAAGGTCTTACAAAGTTGCCCAGGCTGGCCTCAAACTTAGGATCCTCATTCCTGAACCTCTCAAGTAACAGGGTTTGCCAGTGTACACTCCCCAGGCCCTGCTTAATTCATTTTTAAAGTGAGGGAACCAGCAAGATGTTACAAGCAGTTCAAAGGAGAGTTCAAACACTGCACACATATTTTAGGTGATCAGAAATGCAGAAATAAATTTACAAGTAGGTATAAGAGTGGTAATATCCACAGGGCAATAATCAATTATGTTGCACCAAACAAAAATTCATTCATCTGTATTATCAAGAAACATTTGCACTACTATGAATGTCCTACAAGTTGGAGAATTTTAAAATACCATAATGACCGTGAAAGGTACAAAAAAGCCCACATGTGTGCACAAGACAAGATAAATACTTTTGTTGTTTTGTTTCTGCCTATTTCAAAGTTTTTAAGAAATTTTCCTGACAGTCTCCCTACTCTTGATCATATTAATCTTAAAGATAGTTTTTGATCACAAAAAAGAATTTTTTTTTATTTGGCCTGCTTATTTATAAAAGTACAATTGTTCATGTAGGCCATCTTGAGTTTATTTTGTAACTTGAATACCATATCAACTATTTATTTCAAAGCCTGGAAAATAAACAGAAAAAAATATAATATACCCCTTGCTTTTCTTATATGAACTATACCTTAGTGTAACAAAAATTTGATGAGGGAAAGTCTCTGTCTAGATAGGTGTTCTCAGGAAGAAACAAAAATAATAATAGTTAGACTAGTACTATTTTGGAAGCCCTGATAAATAAGTGGGTATAATAAGTAGTCAAAAATGGCTGGGGTTGGGCTTGGGGTTGCAGCTCAGTGGTGGAACATTTGCCCGGCATTCTGGAGGTTTTGGGTTCAATCCCCAGCACAACAAAAGAAAAACAGCAACAAAAAGGCTGTCAGTATCACAGAAAGAGATACAATATTTGCCTCTTATTCATCAGAATATGGCCAAGCCTCTCAATCTAACCACCAAATTACAAGAAACACAGAACCTAGAGAAACAGTAAATGATGGAAACCTCCAATCACAAAGTTTAGGCTGTAGAATAGACTATAGAACAAATAAAGTAGTTTCTCCAATAAATGTCAAGGGAGAAACCATGGAAGGCTAAACTCACAGATTAGAAGCGAAGAGTCATAACCAGTTGCAGTGTACGGACCCTCATTTTGTTCTGTGTGACCATTCAAAGTGTGAAACATATAGCAGCAGTTGGGACAATTGAATATTTAATTATTATTGACCTGATATCCGTACCTTACGTATGTTTTTGAAGTGCCTGATTACTTTAGAAATAAACCCTAAGATATTTAATGCTGAAATTAAATGAAGTCTGATATTTACTGCCAAGTATTCTGGAGGGACGAGCCTACAAAAGGCTGGGTGATGAGTATCTGTGGTTCATTGCGCTATTTTCTTCAGTTTTACATTTGTGAAATTTTCCATAATAAAGATTAAAAGAAAATAACTTAAAGTCCTTCTAGTAAATATACTTCCCTCATTTGATTTTCTTTAATAACTTATAACTTATTGTTGTTGAGCATGTAGAATGCATAGTATTTTAAAGTTTGGTTTCTAAAATATTCTTTTCATAATAAGTTTCAAATACAATCATGGTGGCGTACTGTGGTGTTTCAGAGACCTTTTTATTTCAGATAATAAGAATTTAAAATGTTGAGAAATAACAGTACTTTCCCTTAAAACATAAATGTTATTCATGTAAATTATTTGATCAACCAAAAGCTTTTTAAAAGCCAAGTCACTTTTCTTTTGAACCTCTCCAAGTGAATAATCAATTTTTTGTTTGGTTTCTTTCCAGATAACCTTTTTCATGCTGCTTTCCGCGGTGTGTGTAATGCTGAATTTGGCTGGTTCAATCCTCTCCTGTCAGAATGCTCAGCTAGTCAGCTCCCTAGAAGGCTGCCAGTTGGTGAGTAATGAAATGCAAGCCTTTTCACAAAGGTCATAAGCTTCGATTTTGCATCGGAGCTATTTTAAAAATAACTTTATTGTATTCTTAGGCTCTGCTATAAACTTTTAGTTTGTTCACCAGTTATCTACTTGTTTAAAGAATTTCAGTGAAGTTGACTCATTTCTATGAATTCCCCAATTAAAACTTGTTCTACTTGTAAATCAGTTATTAAAAGTCTATATTTTTAAGGACTACAATGTAGTGCCATTTTAGAATAAATGTCTTTGGTAACTATTATAACATTGGTTGTGTTGATTTTTACTGGCATTAGAATTTTAAAAATTATTTTTCAAGTCAATTTTTAGTGCTGTTAGACATATAAGCTTAATAAAGTGCATCAAAACATACAGTTCTCATTTTTCTATTAAAAATTTTTCAGATCTAGGAAAATCCTAGGCAGTGCGCTGTGTATGTTGTAGAGGGTCAAGAAATAGTTTGTTAGATAAATCTATCATTTCCAGATTGGCTTGGGGTTGTAGTTCAGTGGTCGAGCACTTCCATAGCATGTACAAGGCCCTGGGTTCTATCTCTTGCACTGCAAAAGACAAACAAAAACCACAAAACCTACACAACAAGATAGCATAGTTCATGATGCTGCAATATATGCATCTGATGGGGAAAGAAGTTCTATTCTCTGTGGTTGTATTCAACAATGGATCTACTTAAACTCTGGGTAAGCCCGTGGCTCCTAGGTGCAGGAACTTTGGCATTTATTTCTTTATCTTGGGATAACACTGGGCTGCCTTTCAGAGCCATGATTCTCCACACTGCCCGTCTACTGGTACTGCTATTTTTCTGAGAAGTCAGCACTGAATTGGCGGAAGCTCTCCTACAGTAGGGCCACATCTCCTTTTCTTGTGGCCATGCTCATTGGATTCCAGGGGGCAGACATTAGGAGACCTTCTGCCTTCCACATTGGTGGTTTTTTTTTGTTTTGTTTTGGTACTGGCATCGAACTCAGGGCTTCGCACTTGTCAGGCAGGAGCTGCACTGCTGAGCTACATCCCTGGCCCCTTGCACATTCTTTGTACAAATTCTTGCAGGACCAGTGTAAATGGACACAGTCTCAATACCGAAGCAACACATTACATAAACTAATTGTTAGAACATAATCTTGTTATCTTCTGTTGAATGTGGCCAAAAGAAAAATTAATCAGATTTCATCCTAATATACCATGAGCAAAACTTTCCTCTAGGTGGTTCAGTCTTCCCCCATGACTGCTAAGAATTGGCACAAGCTGTATCCCTGTCGCTATCTGAAGGGTTGACTTGCTGTCTTGCATCCACAGCTCAGGTGTGCCGAGAGATCAAAGAAAATACCTGAAGATGGTTGTGAGAGATAAGGTTTATTAGGATATTAACAGAAAAGGATAAGATTAATTAAGGCTTACTAACAAAAAAGGCAAAGTCTGGTGGGATGGACAGGACAATTACTGGAAGGTCTGGAGTTAGTGAGTCAGACAGGAAACTGCCAGGTTCCAATGGTGCTGAACCACACAAGAAATCAACGGGGTCTGGTGGTGCTGTTACAAAAAGATCATCCTAAACATTCTTAGTAGTGGCCAATCTTTGTGTGTGAATATAGCATTTATTTCAAATCTGAGCTTTTTTCCAGATATCTTCATATAATTCTGGTTACAGCTCCTGAAAGTAGGCTCTTGATCACAATGAACCCACATCTTCAGAACATTTGATGCATATTTGACATTCTGCCTTCCAGGAAGGCTCACCCATTTGTACTTCAATGCATGCGAATGTGCTTCCTCTTAAACCCCTCAAGTACAGAAATTACTTTGGGAGTACTTCCCTTTCAATGTCATTAAAGAGTTTGAGGACTAGTGGCATTGGATCTTCCCTGAAGTTCTTAGAGAATTCAGGGATGAATCCATCAAGTCCTGGGCTTTTCTTAGTTGGTAGGTTTTATTGTTTGTTTGTTCTTTTAGTACTTCTTTAATTTCATTGCCTGTTGTTGAGTTATTCAGGGTTTTTGTAGCTTTCTGGTTCAGTTTTGGTAATTCACATGTATCTAGGAATCTGTCTATTTCTTCTGAATTCTTCAAGTTTTTGCAGTACATGGTTTCACAGTAGTTACTAATAATCTTCTAGATATCCTAGATTGTTATTTGCATTTTAAATTTACCTTTTGACAGAGAGGTTTAAAATGGTGTGTATTCAAATTTATCAGCATTTCCCAATATTTCCCTTTCTAATCTTACCTTGGAGGCACACTTAAGACCTCCCAAGATGATGTTGCCCTAGAAATCTTGTTTTGGTGCGCTTCTTTTTAATTGTAACTCTCTTATTTGATGAATTTAATTTTATCTGCCTGGCAGTTTAATAATTTTCCTAAACCATTTTCTGAGTGTCCTTGCTAGTACTTCCTTGGTGATTTGAAATCCCAGCAAATCATTAAGAGTTGTAAGTGACGAGCTACGCTAACAAAGCCAAAGGCCCTTCATTGAAAGTGTTGGAACCTATGGATAACCAAAAGGTCTAGAAATTAGACTCGGAAGTTGACTGGTGCTCAGGAAGCTTCTGTGGGTGTAGAAGTCTGACTCACAGTGAGAGCCTACACTGGAAACCCTGACCTCATCAGGGTAGAGTTCTGCAGGAGTGAACTGTTGCAGGTGTTCTTAACTGCTTCATCTACTGCTGTGGAGTCAGAGTCTAGGGAGGCAGCCCTTGATAGGCCCAGACGCAAGAAGAATCTGTATATCTGACCCACCAGACTAAATCCAATAGGATTCAAGTGGTCACTCCCCAGAACAAAGCTAAATGCTATTAGGAAGGGTTGGGGAGGCAGGAGACAGGAACTGTAATGCTGGGTGGCCAAAGAATACCCAATAACATTAACGCACTCATGTACACACCGAGAGTTTTGTTGATTTATCTGATTCTGGGCTTTTTATTGTATCCTATTTCTGTGTTTAATGTTCTAGAATAATACCGCTTTAATTATCTTGCCTTTATAGTCTATTTGTATAACTGATATGGCAAACTCTAGTCCCATCCCATCCTAGACTTTCAATCAACTTCTTAAAGATTCTTGTCTGTTCTTCAATGCTTAGTCTTCTGGATGAACTTTCATTTATTTTTGTACAGGATTCAGAAGAAATGCATTTGAGAATTGAATTGGAATCTTATTAAATTTATGTATAATCTTGAAGGAGAATTGACATCTAAACTATATCATGTCTTCCCATTGAAGAACATAGTGTATGCTTTGGCTTATCTAAATTTTTTTTGATTTCTTCACTCCAGATGTTTTTTCTTTAGAATAGCCAGTACATTTCCATATGAGTGTGTAGTATTGGTGTCTTTTTGTTCTGTACAAGGAAAAAATTAACTAGTTTTATCTGCACAAAAACGATATATAAGCAAAAGTAAATCTTTTATTCTCAATTGCTAGAAACATCACCTTTCCAGAAGTAACCAATGCTAACAGATTTTTTTAGTAACTTTTTAGTCATTGCCTATACATTTTATTTTATTTTGTTTTTTGAGACAGGGTCTCCCTATGTAGTTCAGAACTGGCCTTGAACTCATTATGTAGCCATGGTCTTGAAATCATGGCAATCCTCCTGCCTCAGCCTCCCAAGTGCTAGGATTACAGGTGTGCACCACCAGGCCCAGATCCTCATTGCTTATACACTTGTGTGTGTGTGTGTGTATGTGTGTGTATGTGTGTGTGTATCTTTTGCTCCCCTGGTGTTCGGGATTAAATCTAGGACCTTTGCACTGAATTATATCTCTAGCCTGATTTTTTTCATTATTTGAGACAAGATCTCACTAAGTTTCTAAATTGCCCAGGCTGGTCTTGAACGTGCTGTTGTCCTGCCTCAGCCTCTCAGAGTTGCTGAGATTACAAGTGAGGTAAGAATATTTTTACAAACACGGAGATCTACTCTATACATGGTTACTTGCATTGTTTTTGTTGATCAGTCCCCATCCACACTTGGAGATCTGCCTAACTGTTAAATGGACAGTGCTGTAGAATTATGCTAGATGGATGTGTGATTGTATCTGTCAACTTTCTTATCTCTGAGACACAACACCCAACAACCACAGTTTAAAGGAGGAGAGGTTTAGATGACTCAATTTCAGAGGATTCAGTCCTTGGTTGGCTGGCTCCAAGGTAGAAACATCATGGCAGAAGGGTGTGACAGAGCAGAGCTGCCTAGTTCCTGGTGGCCAGGAAAGAGAGTCAGGAAATAGCCCCAAGGAACAGATTAGCACGCAGTTCACACCTCCAGAGCCCACTCAGACACACCCAGAGTGTGGTTTCCTAATCTCTTGGGTAGTTCCCAAACCAGTTGATCAAGTTTACACAATTAGGCTTAAAAACTACAGCGATAATTTCAATAACCACCACTCGACAAAGTGTTTCTAGTCTTTTCTTCAAACAAACTTAGCAGAGACTATTACCCTTTGTGCACTTTCATTACTCAGCAAGTACTTCGTGGCCTTGCTGCTGCTGTGATCAGGCCTAGGTGCCCGGGTGATGAGGGTTCAGTTGTGACCAGGATACATGTGTGCACACAGATCTTGGAGAGAAAGTCAGTGCGTGCACACACATTTTAAATCATAGTTATTTCTAAACGGCTTTCCTAAAACAAGGTGCCAGTTACACATCTGCAAACAGAATTGAATGCAAACTCTTGTATTATCAGAAATTATATCTTTGCCAATCTGATGCAAAATATATAATTTCAATTTCATTATTGAAAAGGGAAGTTGAGCACTTTTACGTTTGTTTATGCTATAAATTTCATTGTCTGTTCATTGCCACTGTGTGTATGTTGTCTATTTTTCTGCTGTGTTTTTTTTTTCAATAATTGCTAAATAAATCCATTTCTTATGTTAAGGTAACTGACCATTGTCATATATGTTGAAGATACATATTTTTTGTAATTTGTTACCCACATTTTGACTTTCTTAATGGTTTTTCTTTCTTTGGA